GTGTATGTATTAGGCATATGACTGTATCCATATACCTAACTTAAATACCTGTATATCCATAATTACATGTTCCTACAGTGGGAAGCCCGGCCAGCCGAGGCGGGCGCGCGCTAGCGTTTACAATTAGTGTAGGCTATAGGTATGAACCATAAAAGCGTAGGTAGTTGGGATTACCTGTGACTGCATTGTACCTACAGTCTAGTAGAAATTATCCTCTAATTACTAGGCAGAACCCAGTAAAGCTGTACGTATATGGAGCACAAGTACTGGAGACCCATGATTAATAAATCCCCTCCTTTTAAGAGCCTTACTATTAGGATCCCATTATAAACCCTATCATAATAAACCCCAAACCCGAAACCCTATCCCTGTTATAATCCCTATAAAGGGGAGGGTGTTTATTAAGCAGGGGTCTACAGTATCCTTACTCGTAGGTAGAGCCCACAAAGCTGCAGGTAATTGGAGCCACAGGTCAAACCCCAAACCCTAAATAGCAATTTCCATCTTAGTTTCCTTTATCCCTATATGAGCCATAGTCTAAACTCCTTAAAGTGGGTTATATAGGGGGTTATATATGGGACTACTATAAGGGGTACTAAGAGGTATACTAGGAGTTTAGACTATGGCTCATATAACCCCAGGTCAAGCTTGATCCAAGCACCGTGGCAGGCAGACGCTGCGGCTGCGCCATGGCGTTTGCAACAGGGCGGAGGGCTCTGTAAAAGCGGGCCGAAGTCAGCCCAAGGAGCCCCTTTTTTTCGCCCAGGGAAGCTCTCTCGCAAGCACGGCGCGGATGACTTTTGTCGGGATTGTAGCCGATGAATCTTATGCTTTTTACGCAGCTACCTACAGGCAAGTTGGTGTCTTTAGCTGCGGGATGCCAAGTCCTGAGTTACTAACCCGCCTGACTCTCAGAGCCTAAACCTGACCCTTAGCTTTAAGATCCACAATCTAAGGCTCTACCCGGGACCTGCACCCACCAAGAGGCAGCAAAGACGAGGTTCGGTGTTCTCGGTTCAGCTCTTGAGCAAGATTTGCGCGGGGCCGTCGGCGTTGGATGTCCAGGTTGTGAAGTGGTAGATCCCAAAATAAGTGGACCCCAATAGACCCGCTCAAAAAACGAGCATCCTTATTATAAGGCTCCCCAAAAAGATACCCCTAATTTTTGCAAACTTCCAAGTGATTAGCAGATGGGAGGTTCCCTTTAATTTGGCGTCCCTGGGCACCCAAAGGACATTTTGGGATGACAGACAGATTTTTGCGACTATAGTGTATAGGCAATGTTCGGAGTTCTGGGCTGTCCTTACGGAATTTCGAGGTGTGAATCATCCGCAGAAGCTCCCATGTCTAGGGGAATCAGAGGCATGCCAGCGAAGTTTCGCACGTGGGTGGTACGGGCCCCTTGTGGAATTCATCTGGGCAGGCTCCCAACGGTCACTGAAGCGCTAAACATGACTGCAGGTACGTCTTGGAATGAATGACAGAGGCCTCTTGTTGGCAAGAATGAATGCTGGGCTAACTTGTGGGAGTACTCCTCCCAAAAACAACATGATGCCCCATGAAGACCTTATTCACTCACAAGGGCTGGTAGTCTTCATAGGGCCCCTTGCAGAGCTGCCTGTCAATTTGAGGTAAGGTAAGCCAAGCAGAAAACCAACTGGTGAGCGCACCGCGGGATGGAGGAATGCAATAGTTTTCCACACATAAGTAGTATATTGGGGCTATACAGGGATTATATAAGGTTATATACGGTAATATGGGGGTTATATAAAGTTTATATTGGGATAATGGAAAAGGAAATGGAAATTGCTTGCAGGTATAGATGCCAAAGGATAATCCTTGTATTCCATCCTTCCATCCCCGACTACCACACACCACTGAGACACGTGTGAGTAAGATAGGGTTTAGGGTTCAGGGTTTAGGTTTTAGGGTTTAGGGTGGCACTGGATCGTCGTTTTGCCTTTGAAAGGTAAAAACAAGCCAGGACCTTCTCCAGGGAAAAGGAAGCATCGTGGTTGCTTCAAGGCAGGAGAAAACATCAGGAAGGATATGTGAGGAAACAGCATGCATGCTCATTCGGGATGTCATACCTGTGACTCCACTTAGTAGCAATTACCACCCCAATCTGTTGGTGAAATCCATACAACTATAGGTAAAAGGAGCCACATGTAGGGATCATCTTAGGGAACCTCCTTGTATATACGTAGACTCCCTATCAAGAACTCCGTCGGGTTGATTTAGGGTTTAGGGTTTAGGGTTTAGGGCTTAGGGCTTAGGGTTTAGGAGATCTTCGTCAGGTTTGGAGATTCCTGATACGGTGGGGAATCGTCTGTCTGTTTATAACAATACCTTGGGTCCTGCCCCCCACCCAGCAACGGTATATATGAGGGGTCAGATTAAGTACTTGATACATATATATATATGTATTTCATAAGTATTATCCAGCTGTTACAGAGTGGGGGCAGTACCCAAACAATAACTTGCCAAGTGCTTTAGCTGGGGTTAGTGGGACTGTTACTTGTGCTGCCACTACTAACTGCTAGTGATAGGGACCTGAGTAGACTGGACGGCTTCGGATGGATCCCATCGCCCGCAACGTAGGACAGATCCGGGAAAAATGAAAAGGAAGCCAGTGGTTTCTGAAATGCACTCCCTAAGAAGGGTACAAGTACTTACGCAATAGGAAATTCAGGCCGAAAGTACCTCTCTAGGAACCCCTTTGGGACCTAATTAAATGTGTGCCGCTAGCCCTCTTCTGAAAGGTCAGCACTTTGTTGGAAGTACATTCCGGAAATCTTCCCTTGTAACCCAAAGCCCTAAACCCTTGTAACTAATTTAAGGCCCTACATACCCTCCGCGCTACGTAAACCCACTGATTGTAGCAGCGCCAAGCAGCCGGGCTCCAGCGTTGGAATCGGACTTCGTCCTGCAGATTTAGAGGATTATAGGGGTAGGGGTTTAGGGTTTAGGGTTTAAGGAATTATGGGGGTAGATATAGGATTATTCTGTTGGATTTGGGGATTGGGGCTGAGGGATAATGGGGATTGGGGTTTTTCAGAAAAGGATGCCTTTGAGGGACCCTAGAGAGATAAGGTAATTACAAAGTGGTTGCAGGGTCCCCATACAAAAAATGGAATGTTTAGAGCTCAAGGTATTACTGTTAGCGTTTTGGGTCTACTGTATGGGTCTTAAGCCCTAACCTGGGCTAGGGTTAAGGTAGAGAATTCAGCTTTTAGGGTGTAAGGTCTGGAAATCACAGATGGGGGGGGGGTGCGGTTTAGACGGGTTTAAGGTTTCAGCCCTTCAGAGCTGTGTACATTGACTGCAAGGAACCTTCCGTCAATACCCTCAAGATTTCCTCGGTGAACCTGAGACTGATTGTAGCGTGGGGTTTAGGATTTAGTAGGCATTTACGAAGACCTTCCTGGTACCCTCAACTGGGGAGATATGACCCCTAATAGAGGGTACTTATAAGCCGCAATAGAGGGTAGGTGGGGGGTCAGAATGACTTAGTAAGTAGGTTCATAACTCCAATAAACCATGTAATAACCCCAAATACCCCAATTTAACCTGCTTACAAAGTCTCCCTGACCCTCCAAGTAGGGGTTGACTGTTTATCTCAAGTTAGAAGTGTGGACTCCGCAGCATGGGCAAGGTTCTGTAGTTTATGTTATTCTTCATTAACTCGCCTTAGGGTTATACTAAAAAAAAGCAATGGTTCCTGCCTCCCCCTAAAGCCTAAGGAGAACCCTTCAACTGAAAGCCGTATGACCCTAAACCCTAAACCCCAGCTGGAACCTTTTTGTCCGACCGCCTTTGCCGCAGCAAAGTCAGAAGCTGGGTTTGGGGTAGCCGAAAGCTTCATAGTCGGCTTTGTATCGCCTCAAAGGGTCAGAGTTTAGGGTTTATGGAAAGGGGCCTACTTTTGAGGATCAGTGGGATGTAGTAAGTAGGTGAACAGTGGCCATACCAGTGGCCATCATCTGGCTTTTATGGGGTTACAATGGCGATAACTGGGGTCATCATGTGTTGTTAGTATACTTACTAAGTCTCCCTAAACCTTGAACCCTGGCCCTCCAAGTAGGCTCTAGCCTATTGAGCATTACACACGCATGTTTGGAGACACTGGCAAAACATCATGCCATAGGGTGTCAGCTGCCAATGATGCATTCTGGGCAGGTCCACATGCCCTATAACCCTAACTCCTAAACCCTAGCTCCAAACCCTAAAACCCAAACTCTAAACCCTAAATCCTAGATCTGCTATCAAACCTCTAAACTCTAAGCCTTAAACTCTAAACCCAAGAACCCTAGAGCCTAAGACCTAGCTCTACCATTCAGGCTCTAAATAGGAGATCTTGGGACTAGGTTACTTGGAGCCCTACGTATTGCAAATGAATCCCAAAAACAGACCTGCTTCAAAGTAGGAACCTATCTTCAGGGGCCTGCTTCACAACACGGTTTAGGGTTTAGGGTTTAGGGTTGGGTTGAGGGTTTAGGGTTGAGGGAGCTTGCGAATTCCCAGGGGGCTGACTGCACGACAAGAGAAGATTGGTCGAAATGCTCCGAATAAGTCCAAGCCACTCGTAGACCGCTTCTTTCGTTTTCGGCGTCAGCTCCTCGACCTTGTCATGGTGTATTGACATTACTTGTGGAGAATAAGGGCTTATCAGGGGCCACTTAAACGGGGTAGCACAGACCCTGAATTTCATGTTCCTGCGTCTTGTGCATTAAGTTATGTTGCTTGTATTCGCCTATACTCTATCTGCAGCCCGAATTCATTTCACCTTAAAGGAGAAGTTATAATTCATGAGCCTAACACAGAAGATGGTAGGTAGTTTGGGCTGCAGGTATACCCTAAAACCTCAACCCTAAACCCTAACCCTACAGAATCCTTACATCCTCACATATTCCCTGCAAGATGTCCTTAGGACGAGCCACTGTCAGGTTGCAATGATCGGTCCAGTTGGACATTAGCTCCACAGCCTGGGCTCAGGGTTTAGGGTTTAGGGGTCGGTATCTGGTAGTTTCCCCTTAAATGGGTCTGGGGTTTAGACCCCCAACACAGTAATCCCTATTAAAGGGACCCCCAGAGGGTACCCTTGTTTGGGAAATGTCCATAATACGTAATGTGGCTTAAGGTTTTGGACTTGGGTTTGGGGTTAGGGCTTCTAGGGTTTAGGCTAGGACCCGCTGGGACTTACAGGGTTTGGGGTTAAAGTTTGTAGGGTTAGAGGTTGGGTTTAAAGGATCACGGGACCTGGGTGACTTCATTTTTGGGGGCGCGGGCTTCAGGGTTCAAGGGTTTGATGCTAAAGAATCAAGATTTTAAGAGATGTAAAGTTGGAGCTTCAGAGTTGTACGTGCATAAATGTTTGGGGGTTCAAGGCTTCAAGGCTTAGAGCTTTGGGCTTATGGAGTTTCACAACCAGGGTTTGAATATTTAGGGCTCATACGGTAGGCTTACACTTCAGGAGTGAGGAGTGGAGCTCAGCATTACTACTAGGCGAGACACACGAGAAAGAACCGTAAAGTATCGGCCGAGCATCGGGAAGCTCAACTTTGCGCCCAAACTCTGCCATGAGATCGGAAAACCTTAGCTGTAGCTCCGCTCTGTAGCTCTGCTCGAAGATCCAGGGCTTGGGTTTAGGGGTTAAGGGTGTAAGGCTTAGGATTTCCAACTGGTGCTATGCGGATCGCAAAGTATAGAAGCTATAGTACTGAGAAGAGCCCCGAACGGCCCCAAAGAGCAAGCATCGAAGCCCTCAACCCTTTTGTTAAACAGCCCAGGGTGCTGAAGGTTAAGGCGGGGAAGGAACAACAATTGCGGATGCACAAAACTGGCCAAGAACGGTTTCTGGTTCATAACTTAATTAGGGTTGCTAAGAACTACAGCAAACATTGTCTCATCCAAATCTGAAATCCTGAGCTTCAGAGACGTACATCAGGAATGAAATAGAGCCCTCTGCAGGCAGGCTTCCAAGCATGGGTGGCGAGTATTTGAGATTTGTGAATATCCGATATAAAGGACACCTCTACTTAGGGGTACAATCGGGCCCGACAAGGTTGTTATCAGAAACCAATTACAGGTGGGTAGGTTATAGGTAGGCATTTCCTATGGACCCCCCACAATAACTCGCATCATAAGACCCTGAGTGGCCTAGAGGGCCTATGAGGAACTGACCTCCCCTCCCCTGCCCTGATCTACCAGTAATGGGATCCTTGTTATGGGTATGTGTTAAGTGGATCCCCCACCCAGTAATAGCGACTCTAAGGCATAATAGTGGATAGATTCCGGTTATGCCACTATTACAGGGTGGGGGGTCCACCTACCGTACTTGGCCTCAGGGTCTTGGTACATCCCATAGTCCTCACCGAAACCCAAACAGAGCCCTACGAAGACTGCTGTTGCAAAGGACCACATCAGCTTCTACGTTGGTTTGGGGGAAGGTAAGCCCTGCCCCTGCACCTCTAAGTCTAATCTCCTCGCCCCAAATATTGAACCAACCCCGCCCCAATATTAAATACTCCCAGTATAATCAAATATACAACATAATGGGAACATTCAATATAAGGGGGGGGGGTGGGGGGGCGGGCTGGGGTTTAATATTAGGGGGCGAGGATTGTAAACAATACCTACTTGGGGCCCTAAAGTTTACCAACAACCATCGACTGCGGGTTGCTAGGGTACCCAGGGCTATACGGCTCGTAGCAAGCGTGCAAGTTTAGATCAGAAGCTCTTTGTCCAGGTTCTCCTCATGCAGAATGCGCTGGCAGTAGTTGCGGGGGGCAGCAGTCTGGTTTGAGACGCCGTACACGGACCTGGGTATGAGGAAGAACCAAATGGAAAATCAAAATGGAACTGGGCTATATAGAGGTTTTGGTTATCCAAGCCCGCCTACTTCAGACTATTCGATAGTCACCCTAAGCCCTAAAACCTAAACGCGATTTAGGGTTTAGGGTTTAGGGAGTTTTCGTCGACTTTATGAGGGGGGTTGGGGGAACCAACAGCCTCTAATTAGACCTGGCTGTGACCATAGGGCCATCGACAATTGGAACGAGGTGCTGGGGCATACTAGAACCAGGACCCTTCTTGTACCCTTGAATGGGGGTATATTAGAGTCGCCTGTCTCCTGGTCTCTCTTAGGGGTCATGACCCCTACCTGGACCCCGAAAGTAGGTAAAAGAATGACCTTAATGGCTGTTATTATGGGTCTAGGGCTATTATTTTACATAATTTTGGGGGTTTAGGTAAACCCTAAACCCTTAAATCCTAAATCCTAAACCCCTGGAAGATACACACTAAACCCTAAACCCCTAAACGCCTATATCCACTCGAAAGTCAAGGCCAAGCTTCTCGACCTGCGGCATGAAAAAGCAGTTGTACCGATAAGGTCCTGGTCTCCACTGACTTTCATTCAGGCTTGGGATTCAGGAGCTTAATGTTTAGGGCTCAGGGTTTAGGGGCTTAATGTGTAGAGTTTAGAGTTTAGGGATTGGGGTAGAAGTGTTTAGGGTTTACGATGTAGGGGTTCAGGTCAGTAGGGAATGAGGAGAATGGAAAAGGACATGCCGTGCACTATAGCAGGGTGTATATGAGGCGGCGTCAAAATTACTTGTTTGTTCTTTCTTGGTTTCTGAATTACGGCGTCCCCTATCGATTTCCACGTTTTGGTGATCTTCTCTTAACCCTCGCTTAAATGAAATAAGCCTATAGTTTTAGNNCTTGGGGATTTTTGCGCAACAACTACCGCCTCTACTAAATGAAGTAAACGGTAATTTTGACCGCGACTCATATGGGGATTCAGAGTGTCAGGCTTAATGTTTAGGAAGTAGGGTTTAGGGATTAGGGTCTTAGGGTTTTGGGATTCAGGGTGTCAGGCTTGTTTAGGGTTGAGGCCATGGGGTTGAGCATTTGAGGTATGGG